ACATCCCCAAAGGCAATCAGAATGAATCTGAAGATTTCAGACAGCTTTTTCTGTGCGATTCGCATCAGGTGGCGAGCGAATAGGCGATCTGTTGGTGAGACTAGATCAGAGGGAACTTGAGGATCATCAACCAGAGAAGGCTGCTTGACCCCTTCGAAGCATCAATGGACGCCTTTCCGTAAGTAAAAACATATTTTACCTCATCATAGACTGGTTTAGTGCACAGCTAACACATTATTTCTCGTGAAAACAATTTGGAAACATTTGTTTTGGTACACTAACAAGACGACATGCAGTTCTGCATCCAATTTAGATCTTAAAATTATTTCACATGCATCAAACTCACAGCAATTTGTTCAAATGACTATGCAAAAGCACTGCACTATTAAATAATTATGACTCACTGTTATTTACATAAGAGCATTTTCATTGATTTGTCATCCCATTAATAACACCGCTGCAAGACTCCACACTTACAGTGTGTCTCTGCCCTTCTCAGATGACCCTGTAAAAGCTCTTAGTTCTCCACTGTATGTCAGGAAGCACACTCCTCTCATTGGGCCAAACAGATCTATACAGTAGATTCTGGAAAGCAAGGCTGAGAAAAATGCAATTTGAAAATAAATCGACAAATATGTAGTTACAGGCCTTTTGCACAGGATGAGTGCAATGCAATGAAAGAAGGGTCGCAATTGATGCTTTTCGACTACTTTTAACTTGACTTAAAATGTAAAAAAAGAAATGTAGGTTTAACTAAGCGACTGTTGTTGTTTCATTGTCCCCATTATCTACAAGAAACACAATGACAATGGGAACAGACAGTTCAAATGTTTGGGGTCGGTAAGATTTTTTAATGTTTTTGAAAGAAGTCTTATGCTTTTTCAAGGCTGCATTTATTTGATCAAAAATACAGTAAAACTGTAATATTTACAATTTTATTATTACCATATGAAATGATGGTTTTCTGTTTGAATAGATTTTAAAATGTAATTTATTCCTGTGATGCAAAGCTGTATTTTCAGCATCACTACTCCAGTCTTGTGGAAACGGATACATGTTTTTACTTTTACTTTTATTCAGGATTCTCTGATGAATTAAAAATCTAAAGAACTGTATTTATTTAAAATTTAATTTTTTTGCACCATTATAAATTTCATTACTGTTACTTTTGACCAATTTAATGCATCCCTGCTGAATAACAGTATTCTTTTTTTTTTATTTTTATAATAAAAATAAACTTAAAAAATCTTATGGACCCCCAAATTTTTAACAGCAGAATAAGTAAAAATTTCTTCCTTAAGAAAATCAAAATTAAGTTCCGTTTCCACAGGCCACTGATCAGTATGTGTAAATCTTTACCAAAACATCAGCAAATCCCATTAAATCCAAAGACTGAGGAAATCTGACATGCTGGATTTGACTGCTGGTTCTCTTGTAATATTAAAGCCTTTTTGGTTGCCTCAAGCATGCTTGAAAAAGTTTACAGTTACATAAAACTTAAACTCATTTTCAACAGCAGTAACCATCATTTTTGACACCCGTGTATAGTGATTAATACATTGCATAATGCTCTTTCCTCTTCATACACACACCCAGAAAAGTTTTATGTGTCAAGATGTTTCCTGGCATTAAAGATGGGAACTACCTCTTGATTAGCATAATTAATTACTTTCATCCCATTAACAGCATGCAATCCCTTTTTAGCAATCGAGACAATCACTTTCATAATCTGCTTTAGCACACTAAAACCAGTGGAAACTCAAAGCACAGTGCACCACTAACATAAGCGAAGCATTTCTACTGAACGGAAAAGGGTTGACCAGCCATTAAACATCTGTTTGGACAGGATGATCTTATTTGTATGCATATACAAATTGTTCATTGTCCATTTTTGAACATTCGGAAAGACACTGACAAATACAATGTCCGTATGTATTGTATTGACAGTATCCAAAATGTATAGCCTTTCACATTTGCACAACTTTTAAAATTCTGTCAGAGTCAAGACCTTTTTATGAGAAAATCCAGACAGAAATTGTAAAAGTTGGTGGCCCTCTTTATATATATATATATA